GGGGGGGGGGGGAGCGAAAGGGCAGGACAAGCCTAAAATGTCGACCTACGAACGCGCCCAGGGAGTCGTCTGGACCAGATGTTCGAGGGGCATCCGGCCGCGGCCGCGATGAGTCAAGATGCACTTGACCACCTCCACCGCTGGGTCCAGGAGTGAAGGCCCGAGCGGATGTCAACTGTCCGCCGCAAGTTTCGGGGGGACGCAAGGGTGGGATAGCAAAGGGCAGGGTAGAGCATCAGCTCACGTAGCTTGTTTTGATGGCGCCCTCTGGCGCCGTGAGGCGCCCACGTATCGAGGAATGGGCCGGGCGGCGAGGCCGAAACCAGCTGCGTGCAGCAAATTTCGTAATCCCCCCTTTCCCTATCCTACCCTTTGTCCAGCCCGACTCGAGCCTATCCCTATCCCTGAGATTGACAGGCCCAAACGCGATGCCAATCTTGGGTGTGCGTCCTCAGAGACGGAGGGGATCCTGAGGATCGGCATCGGCATGAGGTGATGCCAGCCATGGGGATAAGGACATCTTTTCGGGCTGGTGATTACGCACCCGGACCTTCCAGGAGGGCGATGAGACAAAAAAACAGGACCTTGGCATATACCTTCTAGTCGAGGTCTAGGGGAGGCAAGATAGGTCTGCAGGTCCTGAGGAGGGTCGGTCTATAGCGCTCTGGTCGGTCATGGTACCCAGACCCCCTGGCGTCATGGCCAAACGTCACGACGGCCAGCTTGTGTCTTTTGCTCCACACCTGGGGGCCCCAGGGGCCGTCAGAGAGCGGCTCGGGATGACAACCTGGTCCCGGGGAAGAAGCGAGAGAGCTCCGGGGGACCACGCTGCGAGACTGTCGACGAATGCTTCGAGCCCAGGTATATACATCTCTATATGCCTATAAGACCACCCTTCGGGTGATAAGGAGGTTGTGGGGGGGGAGAGGGGGGGGGTACCAACATCTGACTCTATCGATCTCTCTATCGATCTCACTCAACGGGACACCACGTGACACCACTGGGCACTTGTCGATCTCACTATCGATCTCACTATCGGTCTCACTCAACGGGACACCACGGGATCCCCCGGGCCATCACGGGACACCTGTCGATCTCACTATCGATTTCACTTTTTGGGACACAACGGGACACCCGCGGGACACTGGCGGGACACCGCGGGGCATCGGCCACCGGAGGAGTTACATTTGGTCTGGCCGCGGCCCAGCCACAGGAGGATTTCGGGACACCCGCGGGACACCGGCGGGACACCGCGGGGCACCGGCCGCCAGAGGAGTTACATTTGGTCAGGCCGCGGTCCAGCCACAGGAGGATTTCCTCTCGCCCGCCCACGCAGCTTCGCCTCGCCCGCACGCACGCACGGCACGCACGACACGAACCCGAAACCGAAATCGATTTCCCGGTAGGGGGGTCTCCGTTTCACGTCGGATTCACCCCCCAACCGCCGATACATATATATATATATATATATACATACATTTACACATATGTAAATTTATATATATATATATACATATGTATATACATACATAAGTATAACTCGACATGTGTATATATATATATATATGTATGCATGTGTCTATTGATATACACGCACAGGAGGGGCGAGGGAGGCGGGGAGGGAACAGGGCGGGTCAGTTAGGGTGCGTGTGTGGGGGGGGGAAGGGAAGGGGGCGGCCGAAGGGAGGGGTTGACGAAGAAGACGCGGAGGAGGAGGAGCACCCTGCACTGCGCCAACCCCCGCAGCGGCGGCGCCGAGGCGGAGCTGCCCCGCGCCCCGAGCGCTCGCGGCGCGAAGAGCTGCGCCGCAGGGGGGCCCCCGCGCGAGCGGCGGCGGGCCGAGCCCTGGCGCCGAGCCGTGCCAGACACCCCGGGAGAGCCCAGAAGCGAATCGACGAATCGGATCGGCGACCGACAGAATCTTCGGTCGGGCCTGTACCCCTACAGGGGGGATTTTGAACGAACAATGCAAAGATAGAAAAAACGTACCCCACAATGGTCAAACAATGCTCAGAAAAATAGTCCCCAGACTATGTTTCGACTATTTTGGAATATTCCTCCTGTAGAGGGACACGCCCGACTTAACATAGTTCAGATCGACGGATATCGGCAGCCCCGTCGGGAGAAGTCGGATCGGCCCACATCGGCAGGCTCCCAGGCCTCCAGTGAGCCATCGGGTCCCGAATCGGAATCCGAAACCGAATCGAATCGAAATCGGAATCCATCGACATCGAGTCGAATCGGATCGGCGGCATCGAAGTGAGCCCTGGCCCACCCCGCTCGCACGGGGCGGGGCAAGGCGGCCCGTGCGTCTGCGTCGCCAGGTGCCGGAGCGGCACTCCGGAGGGCGGGCGAAGGATCGAGCGCGGGGTCGGGGGCGGGCCCAGAGAAGGGCGAGAGCGGAGGCATGCTCACCGCATGGCGACGACGTCGTCGTCGTCGTCGTCGTCACCAAATCCAATGGAATTTGAACAACAAGGAAAAAGGAACGTGGTAGTTGATTCGATTCCCTCCCCTTCTTTCCCCTCCCTGGCAGGACCATAGAGGGCGAGAGCGGAGGAGGGAGGTGGCAGGGGAAGGGAGGCGAGGGGACGGATCGCGAGGGCGTTGCAGATGTTAAGCAGGAGCTGCTTACAGGGAGCATCACGCATGCCCACGTGCAGATCTCAATGACGTCTGCTATCATACCTGCCGCGCAACGCCACACTGCGCGGCTCTTTGCCACGATCCCACGCGGCAGACCGTAACTACCTTCGCATATCACGTCAAAGATGCATGCTCTGTGAGCGCACCCCTCTCGGTGTGCAACTCGAGGCCCATCGTATCCGACGCTCAGAAGGTAACCGCGCAATGTGCTGCGAGCTCGACCACGCGCAATTACGATGTTATGCCAGTAACTGGCTGGTCCTCTCGCTCCACACATGCAAAAACTCACTACCAGGGTTGTGATACATCCATGCACGCAAGCGGGCCAACGACTCGCTGAACAAATCACCAGAATCCCACCAGCCCTCTGGGCGTCGGTGGTTTAGAGCGTTTCCTCTTCCACCCCTCTTTCTTCCCCTTCGGGGAGGGGTTTACCCCTCCCCCTACCCCCTCCCCTGGACCTGGACGGGGGGGGGGGGGCGAGTCGTCGGAGCGTCCAAAACGGCCTCGGCGAGGAAGCCAAAATCATTGGTTTTACAAGGGTTTTGGACCCATTTTGGCCTCTTGGGGGGGGCTGTAATTAGTAACCCCTCCTGTAATCGATCTCCTCCGAGATGGCCCAAAGACGGCCCCCCAGGTTCCCAAGGGTGCCCCAAGAGGGCCCCAAGAGGTAGCCAGGAAGCGCCAAGAGGCCCCCAGGATGCCCCCAAGAGGCTCCCAAGAGACCCCGAAGAGGCACCCAAGAGAGAGGCCCCAAGAGGCCCCCTAGAGGCACCCAACCCAAGACGCTCCAAGAGGCCTCGGCGACAATGCCAAAACCTCTGATTGTACCAAGGTTTTGGCCACATGTTGGCCTCCTGGGGGGGGGCACTGCTTCAGATGACTCCAAGAGCGCCTGGGAGAGCCAAAGATGATCTCCAAGATGGCTCAAGATATCCCAAGATGCCTCAAGATGGCGCCCACGATGCTCCAAGAGGCCCTAAGACCGCTCCAAGACGGCTCCAAGTGGCCAACGAGCTCCCCCAGGAGGCCCCGAAGAGGCCCAAATCCTTCCAAAACCTTCGGAACATCCACGTCTTTGGCTTTCTCGCTCAAGATGGCTCCAAGATGGCCCAGGAGGGCTCCAAGAGCGCTCCCAAGGCTCCAAGAGCGCTTCAAGAGGGCCCCAAGAGGCGTCCAGGAGGCCCCAGGAGGCCCCAACAGGCGCCCCAGATGCCTCCAAGAGACCCCCAAGAGACCCCCAAGAGGCCCCAAGAAGCCCTCCGGGGCACCCAAGACGCTCTAAGAGGCGTCCGGGACCGCCAAGAGGCCCCCAAGACGCTCCAAGAAGCCTCCACTGGGGGGACCCTTCCTCTGTGTGCTGCCCGCTTCCCCGATCGAGGCAGTTCCTCTGGGTATTGTTTCTGGATGGGCTGGTGGGAATTCGCGAAGCGTCAACAATTCAACATCTACCCTATGCAACGAGCCTTTGCACGGCCTCCGTACAACAACTCCAACATACAACACTGACGTTAGGACGAGGCCAAACATCTCAAGGCGGACAGTGAGAGCCACACGTTGGTCGCAGAGCTTCGCCCAGGTAGCAAATGGTACTTCAATTGTCACGTGTCAAATGGTGACGTGCGACTAGATGGTGCGCTCCAGGGCCGCCAACGGCCAGCATGCATCACAACCACTTGTGGGCGGCATCTCGGGGCAAGACTTGGACGCTGGTGCCAGCCCCTGTGATCCGCCGCCCATCCTCGACTCCGTCGGCCTCCAACTCCGACTGAGTCACCTGTTTCAAACAGCTGAGCATCAAGCTGTGGTCCCGATTTTGATGCTCCAGGTCCGACTGTAGCACGCTGTCATCTCTTTTCGGTCCCAAGGGGGTCCAACATGGCCCAACAGGCCCCCGATATCGAGCCAAGAGGAACCACCAAGAGACGCCAACACCGAAAGATCAAGACGGCTCCGAGAGCTGGCCAAACAGCAGGCCACGGCCGCGCCGCTGAAGCCGCCCAAGAAGGCCCCGAGAACACCAAGAGGCCCCCCGACATGCCTCGAGCCCTCGAGAGGCTCCCAAGAGGCTTCGGCTTCCAAGAGGCCCCCGAGAGGCACCACGGAAGCATCAGAGAAGCCACTTATCCTCGAGGACTCTGAGATGCCTCTTGTCCACGACCGAGGCACGGTGGCGGTATGGTCCGAAGGCCACACAATGTAGAAAAACAGTGTCGATGGAAAGAGGGAGAGGGGAATCGAGAGAGAGAGAGAGAGACATGAACACAGAACTATTCACAGACAAGAGGCGATCGGAAATTGGGGGGGTGAGATCGCAGTGGAACAGAGAGCCTCCCACCAGAAAATCGGTTTCGGTTTCGTGTTCGTGTCGTGCGTGCGAGGCGAAGCTGCGTGGGCGCGCGAGAGGAATGATACCGTGGTGGCCAGGGTCTGTGGAGCCGGTTGTCCGCCCCCCCCCCCCCTGGCGCTCGAAGGCGGAGGGTGTCCCGTCGGTGGCGCGTCGGCATCCCGTCGGTGGCGCAGGGTGTCCCGACGGTGACTCTGGGTGTCCCGCCGTAGTGTGTAGCTCGTGAGATCAGTTGTGAGATCGATAACGGAATCGATAGTGAGATCGGCTGCGTGATCGATCGTGATCGTGAGATCGATCCGGGGCTGCACCGTCGGCAGCGCGGGGGTGCACCGTCGGCAGCGCGGGGGTGCACCGTCGGCGGCGCGGGGGGGTGTCCCGACGGGGTCGCGGGGTGTGTCGACGGTGGCTCCGGTTGTTTCGCCGTGGCGTCTCGGTGGTAGCTCGTGAGATCAGTTGTGAGATCGATAGCGAAATCGATAGTGAGATCGATTGTGTCATCGATCGTGATCGTGAGAGATCGTGCGATCGAGAGATCGGTAGGGAGATCGATAGTGAAATCGATAGTGAGATCGATCACAATAGATCTTTAGCTAGGGGTGACCCGCCGTGGCTTGGGATGTCCCATCGTGGTTTCCCGATGGAGTCTCGTGAGATCTCGTGTGAGGTCGATATTGAGATCTCTTATGAGATCGATAATGAGATCGATAGTGAGATCGATGGTGAGATTGGTGAGATCGATGGCGCAATTTAATCGCAAGCACAGACATCGCAGTTGTTGTGAGTGGGTCTTCTTCCCCCACCCTCACCTTCTTATTCATCACCCGAAGGGTGGTCGTATAGGTATAGCTTCCCAGCGAACGAGAGAGAGAGAGAGATAGGGAAACAGACCGAAAAAAAAGACAGATACCGTTCCCCGCCGTGTCGGAGCGGAGCCACCGCCGCCCGGCGATCTCGACGGCGGAGTGGTCGCGGCCGCGTCCCTGTCGGACGAGGCCGTCGCGACCCGGTCGCTGGCGGAATCTCCTGCCGAGCGGGCGCGCGAGGAGCACCGGCGTGAGCCAGGATCACATCCGTGTGCGGGACGGGGGGGGCGCAGCAGGAAGGCGGTGAGGAGGTGAAGACAGGAGACCCAGCGTCACGAGCGGTGCCTGTGCCGATAAGCCTGTCCAGCACGCAGGCAGTAAAAAGGAAAAGGGCCCGGAAAGAGCGGCCGCACGCGATCTTGTCGAGGAGGAGGAGGACGACGACGACGAGTGAAAAGGAGGCCGAGGAGAGACGAGTCATCCTGATCAAGCCAAGCCGCTTGGGCTGGCGCGCAAGGGACAAACGTTACGCGCATGTATAGCACACATTTCGAATGATGTGGCGAAGTCAACACATTTCTTTATCGCCACAAGCATCTGATAAACACCTTGAGACTGGCTGGTGGTGACGCTCGGCAGCCCGACTCCCCCCGCCCTGGGCCGGGTGCGCACGTCGCATTGGGCAACTGTTGCTCGGGCCGTTTTTCGACTGCCCGCTGCGGACCGATACTCGGCTCCCCCGGACGCCGGCCGATGCCCAAGCCGCGGCACCGGTCTGCTTGGGACGTTGGAGCGCGGGGCCGGATGGAACGGGGGGCCGGTGCACCACGGCGCACCGCGATCCCGAAACGACCGCCTGTGACTGTAAGGAGCCACGGTGGGCCACGAAAGGCCGCCGGCGGCAGCGCCAGGAGCGGCTCGAGGGTGCCGCCAGAGCCCGCGCGCCCTCACCCTTGAGATCCGATGACGCGAAACAGTTGCAACACTGAGAAGTCAGGACCAGCGCCTCGGGCCCCATCTTCCGGCTGCACTCTTCGAGCCGGAGCGATCTGTGAGGGTCCGGGGGCCCGGCACTGTTCGAAGACGCCCGACTCGAAGAATTTGCGACGCCCAAATGCCAGGGACCATCCACTCCTCCGCGGTCCGTCGGCCGTGGGTCGAGGAGAAGCGGGCCGGGGGCGCCTTGGTGCACCCCGCAGGCCTGCGGGTCCCCGTCCTCCGCTGGGCCCGACAGAGAGGGGGCGGCAGGGGCGGGGCGGTGCGGCGTGCCCGAACACGGCGCCCCCGACGGCGCTGCCGACGCCGGATCGCTGGAGGCCTGGCCGACTGGCGGAGAGGGCGGGGTGGCGGGAGGTGGGGGGGGAAGGAGGCGGCAGGGGGCAGGAGGGCTGGGAGGGGTGGGTGAGGCGGTGCAGAAAGGGGAGAGGGAGGGAGGAGGGTGGGCGGACGGAGGCAGAGGGGACGGAGGGGCAGCGGTGCGAGGAGAAGGAGGAGGAGGAGGAGGAGGAGGAGGAGAAGGGCGAGGAGGAGGGGGAGGAAGAAACAAAACCCAAACCAAGAAATGCTGGGGACTCCAAATCGGACAGAGGATGATAAAACTGGGTGGGCCTAATAATGTCAATCATTTAAGGCCCTGCGCAGGAGTGAACCCGCAAAGCTCTAACATTCGCTGGGGGGCTCAGCTGGAGGGAGTCACCCCCGCTGGTCCCGATAGCAAGCCCCAACGCATGGATGGCCACGCGGGGCGCCTGGGGACACCAGCCGCACGTGCGACTTACTTCTCGACTGTCTCTGCCATCGAAGCTCATGGGAGCGAGGATGTACACGGGTTTCCTTCGACGTAAGCACCCTCCCACCCCACCCCCTTGGTCCTCAGCGGCAACTGCAATCATCTCCCGCCCCTGTCGCAGCCGTCCCCACCACGAACCGATCAGCCCCTACCTCAACGCGGATGTCCTCAACAACGCCCCGTTGAGTGAGCTGACGAAAAATCGCACGCGTCGCAGGAGGCCTGCGGGGAACTCGAGCTGTGAAATAACATCACGAGCCCTGGGAGGAGGGAAGGATGAGGACTCCAAAGGCCGCTTCGCTCTAACTCTCACCCGGACCTTGCACGAGTGTTGATCTTTACGTTCATCTCTGGGCGCCCTCAGCCCACAAGACTCTGACACTCGAGCAGCTACCAGCCCGAATGAAGAGCAACACCCACTCAAAACATTCAGCTGACAACCATCCCCGTCTCGCGGCAGGGGAATCGGCTGATCACAACCATCGTCGTGAAAATGTACTGGCGGACTGTCCGTGCCAGAGGCTACACATGGCGGGGTCGGGCGCTCACAATCAGAATCTCCCAATTGAACCTGTGAACATACCAGCCAAAGAATTGGACCAAGTGGAGTCGGGTGATCACAATCATATTCATCATCAGCAGCATCATCATCAACATCATCAGCAGCATCAGCATCAGCATCAGCAGCATCATCATCAGCATCAGCAGCATCGTCACCACCATCATCATCAACAGCATCATCAGCGTCATCATCATCATCATCATCAGCATCATCATCATCATCATCATCATCATCATCATCATCATCATCATCATCAGCATCAGCATCAGCATCAGCATCATCAGCATCAGCATCATCCTCATCGACGAATAACCAGCGTACATCGCCCATTCGAACCACCATCCGAGAAGGTTTCACCACTTCGAAGTAATCGGCCTGTAAGGATTGAATTCTAAAAGCACTGCTGGATGATCGACTACCCCCTGCACCCTCCGAGACTGGAACACCATCCTTCACTACCTGCAAGCCTCGCCTGCCGATTTCCGGTTGCTCAAGATAGCCGCGATCTGCTTCTCGAGCGGCCCCCGCGGAACAGATCCCACCAGGTGCTGGTGGTCTATCTCGGCCAAAATAGCGGTGAGGATGGTCTTGAGCTGAATGCCCGCGTGGGGTGGGGGAATACAAATTCGCAGCTTGACCTTGCCCTCCGACTTCTTGCTGTCGTCCCCTCACGGCTGCTGGACCTAGAAGTGCGTCACGTACTTCGCGATGTAGCTCGGCTGCCTCTGGCGGGTGTTGTTCTTCGAAAACTCGTTCATAAGGACTGCTCCCGATCCGTCGCCATCCTCCGCTGCAGCCTGCTTCGCCGCAGTCGTGACCATGTAGAACTCCGTGATGCGCGGAGGGTCTATGTCTTCGACGTCTACGCTGTCGTCGGGCCTCTTGCGCTCCTTCAGCTCCGCCACCGCCTTCGAGAACCCCTGGTTGGCCGCGACCACTGCGCGCGCGAGGAAGTGGTCCCTGGGAGTGAAGTATGTCTGCATCACGTCGCTGAGCTCGGTGATGTCTTGTGCATTGATTCATCTCAGCCTCGCCAAAACCTCCGCGGTGCCTGCTCTCCGTCCTGGTCTAACGCCCGCTGCCGGCACCCCGTTGGTTACCTTCCGCTCTCCTGGCTTCTTGTGGAGGGGGAGGACGACGAGGAGGAAGAAGAGGAGGAGAAGGAGGAGGCGGAGGAGGGGAGAGGACCAAGGACAATCACAACGAGAGCGCGCAGAAACCGCACGTGGGATACCAGGGGACCCTGAAGAACAAACATGTACAATCACTCGACCAAACAATGCGGAACACAAGGGTTCGGGCAAGCACGGTGCGGACGGAAGTCCGGGCGTGGTTCGCCCGAGGCAACAGGTGCGTAGTTAAGGAAGGAGGATGATGGATTGGAAAACTATGTTCGGTTCAGAACGTTTATCATATACGGCTGAAGAGCCTCGTTCTAGAGCACATTTCCCTTGAGGTCCCCGCTGGGGGTACACAGGTATGGGCTGTACCTGTTCACCCTGGGCGCATCGCATGTATTTATGTGAGCCTTTTGTTAGACAGGGGGGCTAGGGAAATCAAGGAATTGCTCTACCTGTAGAAACAGCCCTTCGTGCCCGAAAAGGGTAAACGGGCTGCTTCAGAAGCAATTTGGGGAAAACTGGTACATGCTCTACCGGTCGATTTGGTCTGCCTCCCCCAGGACCAGTGGAGTGGTCGACCCGCAGATGTTGGCTGCTGTATCTGGCCCCCCCAGGTACACCCGGACGGTGCGACCAGGCAGGGGCGGGAGGTCCGTCCAGAAGGTCCCGCGGGTGCTCGTGCCAGTGCTGGCGACCTCCTGCCCACTGGCACCGTTTTGGGACAAAATTGTGAGCCCTATGTTGTGGGCCTGCCCCGCGCCGGTGCAGGATTTTGAGCATCGTTTCACCGATCCCCATCCACACGGGTGTGGCCTGGGCCAACTGGCCGATCTACCCCCCTAGATGGGGATACAGGCTGCTCCCCCTGGATTTTGAAGGGTGCATCCCCAACTGGGGTGGTGGGATGATGGGGTCGAGATTCGGGGGCGCGCAAACAGATTAGCGATCCCCCATGGAAACGGGACCCGTCGCTGATCCACGCCCCCTTGATCCGTGTTTGCAGTCGCCTGAGAGATGGGGACGGTCATGGAGACAGGGATCGGTTAAACGATACTGAGATTTGGCCCCCTAGCCCCCCAGCGCTCCGTTCGGCCCGTATCCCCGTGTACACGAGCGCGTTCCACTACTCGCAAAGTAACTACTCGCAAATGGCCCGGATCCGCCACGGGGAATATACGAAACAATTACGTCGAAACAAGCATCTGTCTCTCGGACGTTTGCGAGTAAGCACTTTGCGAGTAGTGGAACGCGCTCGGTGACTGAGGCTCGACCGCGCGAGCGCGGATCGACTGGGAGCCTCACGCGGCAGGCAGGCGGGCCCTCGTGCTCCTCGCCCCCCCCCCCCTCCTGGCCCCCCCTCCTCACAGTGCGCTGCCCCATCGGTCGAGCCTTCGCCCTTGCTCTTCTCTGCCTGCCCTTCCTCGTCCTGCGCCCCCTCCTCTCAGCCTCCCTGCCCCTGCACTCCTTCCCTCCCCCTCTCTTCCCTCTCCAGTCTGCGCAGGGAGGCAGAACTTGTCCGCCCTGTCTCCCTGTTCCAGCGGGTTCTGTCTCCTCCCCACTGCCCCTTGTCCAATCTCTCCTGTCCTCCTGCTCCTGCTACATTGACTCCTCCCGGCCTCCTACTCCTCCTCCTCCTCCTCCCTCCTCCCTCCCTCTCTCCTCCTCCTCCCTCCTCCTCTCTCCTCCTCCTCCTCCTCCTCCTCCCTCCTCCTCCTCCTCCTCTCTCCTCCTCCTCTCTCCTCCTCCTCCTCCTCCTCCTCCTCCTCCTCCTCCTCCTCCTCCTCTCATCCTCCTCCTCCTCCTCTCCTCCTCCTCCTCCTCCTCCTCCTCCTCCTCCTCCTCCTCCTCCTCCTCCTCCTCTTCCTCACCCCAGCCTCTACTGCCGCCCCCTCCGCAGCGCGGAATCGGCCGCCGCCACCATTTACCCAACATTCGGTGAGGGGCATGCGCGCCGACCATCATCCAACAAGGCGTCCATGGCAAGATGCCGTTCCCACCCCTACAATAGTCTTGTTCCTGGTGCAGTTGCGAAAACAATGTCAGGAAACAGCTTTTGGTGGGCGGCTGAGTACCCCAGGGTGCTTCTGCGGTTTTCGATCATGGCTGCCCGAATCGGCCTTCCAACCTCCAGGGTGGCCCTCCCGCGCCCTAGCACCGTCAAAGAAACGACTCGCTATAAAAAGCCGGTCCTTAGAATGTGTCCAGGCCTCTGGGGAGCCACGCTATGAACAAACAAAATCACGAGGTCGGATGTATGGGGAAGACGAGGCATGACGGGGCAGGTAGAAGGCGAGGGAGGGAGGACGGGGAGAGAAAGGATAGACGAAGAGAGTGAAGACAGGATGGGGGCGTCACAAACCTTCCATGGCTAGACACCTCCTAGCGCACATACCTTAGTGAGGGGGTCTCCTACAGCGACCATTAGCAGGCCATGGCTGTTAACTTCTTGGCCCGCGGAATGAAAACACAAAAAAACGAAATTGACAGACGAAGCGCCTTGAAATTTTCAAAATTCCGCTGAGCACTGATTCTTGCACGGCCTGTTTTGCCATCGGCTGCTTTGCAATATTCAGAATTCCACGAGGCATCGATTTTTTGCCAGGCATGTTTTGCCATGGGGCGATGTGTCATCGATTCAAACGCGGGGAACCCCAGGCGATGCTCATTGGTACAACGCCCAAAGGGTTTCCGAAACAAACAGCGCACATGTTGGATTTGGCGCGCGGCGTACGCGAGTGAGAAAGCAGCCGCTTCTCTAGGGCAGCGCGCGCCTTGAGGGGACGCAAGCTTCAACGTGCGAGCGCGTCCACCGCGCAAGCGCAAACGCTACGAGCGACGGGAAAAACCGTCCGCTGCTCGGCGATGCGCACACCTGTCGCGACATCACTCGAGAACGTCGCAATACCATTTGTTTCCGTCCAACTTTGAAGACGGCGCTGCGTAACCAAAGCGCGCGCGGGCGCGCCAAAATCGAAGCAAACACGCACGCGCACACGCACGTACACACACGCACACACACACACACACACACACGCGCACACACACACACACACACGCACGTGCACGTAGCGAGCCAAACTTTTGAGTCGCGACGGGTACAAGCTAGACCAGGGCGCGGCTAACATAATTGACGGCAGCGCAAACATCTTTCTCTCTCTCTCTCTCTCTCTCTCTCTATTTCTATATATATATATATACATTATCATCTGTAAATGGAAACAAAGAAAACGGATCGCGGTATATTGCCCAGCAGCCAGCCCGGAAACGCACCCGAACGGGCTCCGCGCCCCACGGGTGCCACAAGGAGAATTGTCGAATGCCGACGCGCACTTCCGCGCCGCGAAAGGGCCCCCATGCCGCTGGAGCTTCCGCCACCGCCCACCCTTTCCCGTAGTGCAAGGTTTCATCGTCTCAAACGCGCGGGTCCGCAAGCGATGTTGCTTTCTGGAGCGCCAGACGGCTTCCCCGCAATATCCGCGCGCATGTTGGGCTCGGAGCTTAACGTGCGGGACATGAGAAACGTACTGATTATACAAAGCAGCGCGCGGCCAGGAGAAGCGCGAACTTAACCGCCGCGCAAGCGGGAGGAGCATTGGCCGAAGAACGGCCGTGACCCGGCCTCCGTCGGCCTCCTCAAAAGGCCCCAGACAAATTCATTTTCAGTTGCGGCACTGATATGTCGACTTCTATATTCAGGAAAATGCTGAATTATCCCGCGCGCGCGAGCGCCGGTGACCCGGCCTCCGTCGGCCTCCTTAAAGGGCTCCAGACAAATTTAGATTTAGTTTTGGGAATAGCATGTTGACTTTTAAATTCTGGAATGCAGAACTCTCCAGCGCACGCGAACGCCGGTGACCCGGCCTCCGTCGGCCTCCTTCAGGGGCTCCAGAAAAAATCAGATTTAGTTGCGGGAATAACATGTAGACTTTTATATTGTAGACAATGCAGAACTCCCCACGCGCGCGCGCGGGTGACCCGGCCTCCGTCGGCCTCCTCAGAGGGCTCCAGAACAGAACAAAACAAAAAACATGTTCAAACGCGGCACTTTACATGTCGACTTGCATATTCTGGACAATGCTGAACTATCCCGCGCGCACGAGCGCCGGTGACCCAGCCTCCGTCGGCCTCCTGAAAAAGGCTCCAGAAAAATTCAGATTTAGTTTCGGGAATAACACGTCGACTTCTATATTCTGGACAATGCAGAATTCTCCAGCGCGCGCAAGCGCCGGTGACCCGGCCTCCGTCGGCCTCCTTAAACTGCTCCAGAAAAAATCAGATTTAGTTTCGGGAATAACATGTCGATTTTTATATTGTAGACAATGCAGAACTCCCCACGCGCGCGCGCGGGTGACCCGGCCTCCGTCAGCCTCCTTAAACGGCTCTTCAACCAGCCAACCTGCCTACCAGCCGGCGCACCAGCCAACCAACACACTGGACTTAACCAACCAAGCGGCGCACGCGGAGCCTTACGTGTACAAATTTGTAGATAGGCGAGGATTATCGCGCCCCGCGATGTGCGACGCGCGGTGAACTTCACGCCCCTGCGCCGCCGCCCTGGACAAGGGCGGCTCTCCTGCCCGGGCCGCGACGCGCGAGGCGCAATAATCTTCGCGCCCCCAGGGGTGAACAAGTGCAAAGGCCTTGGGCGGCCACGTGTTTCAGAAATATGAAAAAAACCAAGGATGCAAAGCACAAAATGAGTACGCAGGCGTACAGTGAAGGTCTTGACCTAAGGTGTGACATAAGGAACTAATGCCCCCACCTCGGCATGCGGATACATGCAGGGGCGACAACGGGGGGGCCCGAGATTGGAGCTGGACCATAACGCAGCCACCGTTCAATGATGTCGAGCCAGTGAGCTC